CAGAAGCACTCCAAGTGGCCAGATACTGGTCAAAGGACATTTAATCAACTACCAAACTCACAAATTTTGTATTTTATCTGTTTGTTTGCTTTGTTCTGTTAGAAATGTAATATAATTGACTGGTTACCCTGACACGACAAATAAATATGCAGTCATGTTGTCCACATGATCTTTGAGGGATCTGTGGACAATGACGGCTCTTTGGCTTAGAAATGGAGATGAGCACCAACTTACAGAGTCGGACATGACTGAACTTAATGTCAGAGGAAAACCTCTACCTAATAAAGGTATAAATCACCACAAGGTGAATTTCAGATAGTGTTGTTGTTTTATCAGTATGACCAATCTTCTTTGGAACTTTAGGGATTTTGTATTGGTTTTAAAATGTAGACCTCTTGCAAATTTCTTGAAAAGAATATTATTTCTTGTAGTATAACTTCTTGGATTTTGTTGGTTGTTGTCGTCTCTGCTTCCATGCATTCCATTCTTTGTGGAGGTGGTATGTTATAACTTATTGGATCTCCACTAAAAAAAACCCCCACCATCTTTTTAAACTGGGGAGTTTGCCAACATGATCCTATGGCTGAAGAACAAATTTCTCCTGTTTGTTTTAATCTTAAGAGTTACGATGCAAAAGTGCCATTTCACTGATGCACTATTATAGTACTATGATTCTAAGGTGAAAGAGAGGAGGACAGGAGAAGGGGTCTTTTCTGTTCCAATATGTCTTGGCATTAAACCCTAAATGGTTCTGGCCCTACTAACCTCTCTGCACGCATCTCCTTCTATGAACCAACTAGGGCATTAAGATCATCTGGGGAGGCCCTGTTCTCGGTCCCGCCTGCATCACAGGCGCACCTGGTGGGGACGAGAGACAGGGCCTTCTCAGCGGTGGCCCCTCGGCTGTGGAATGCCCTTTCTACAGATATCAGATCGGCCCCATCCCTATTGGCGATTCGGAGTAAAGTGAAGACCTGGCTGTTCAAACAAGCATTCGAACAAGCAGTGTAATTGAATATAGGAATACGGAATAATGGATGATGAGATTGGATTCTGATTTTACTGATGAGACGCTAATGATTGTTATATTGATGTTTAATCGTTGATAATGCTACTGTTTTTAACTGTCCCGTATTCGTTTTGTGATGTTTTTGCATTGAATTTTGCTGTTGTTAACCGCTTTGAGTCGCCTGAGGGCTGAGAAAAGCGGTATATAAATGAAGTATGTAAGTAAATAAATAAATAAAAAAGAAACCCTCTAGAAATTGACTGCAGCTTGTGACACAAAATGTCCTTTGGATACTCCTGCTCCCTTTTCTTGAAAACGAGTGTAGTGAATTCCCTACCTGTTAGGCTAGGGAAAGCCTAGAAAAGTAGGCCCAGGAAGTTCGGCAGCCATTTTGGAAAGGGTGCCAGGGGAATCCATTTTAGTTACTCATTTCCTGAAGGGGGCGTGTTTAGAAAGAGCAGCTTTGGAGGGAAATGAGGGAGGACTGTAATTGGTTGAGTGAGAGTGGACGGAGCCCAACTTGGCAAAAGAAAAAAAATGACTTTAAGGGAAGGTTTTGAAACCCTGTCAGGGAGTTTTGAACCTGGGTGTCAAAGGGAGAAGGTGTTAGGAGTTTGGAGTGGTGAAGAGGGTTAGAGAGAGAGGCCTGAGATTGGTCAGTTGGCTAGCAGAGATAGCTAGTGAGAAGATTACAGCTATTTGGGAAGGATAGCTAGGGAGTGGAGAGACAGATCCCAAAAGACAAGGACTGTCTGTCTGTGTGGAGGAGTTTAGAAATTGCTGTCAGAGAAGCAATCCTGTCAGTAATCTGAGGAAGGAGAGAGAAGTGTTTCATGTGTAACTAAGTCTGAACTGTTTTAAAGTAACCACACACTTTTAAGTCAGTATTTTGAAACAGCTAAGCTTGATACCTGAATTGTTCCAGTTCTCTTAAATAAACATCTTCACAACTGCCTCATGTGTGCCTCTGTGGGTGAAGTTTAAAAAGCAGTTTCCTGCAACAATCAAGAGTCTATGGTGGCAGCGTATAATTTAAAGAACCATCTTTTAGTGTTACCTCAGAACACAAGCCTGAGGGCTAATCCAACACACTCTTGTCTAAGATACCTCAAGTAAGCCAAGGGCTTATCGGTGCTTTTAATTTTGGGGGCGGCCAGAGGGTTTTCAAAAGATTTTTTGGCCAGAAGAAAGTTCTAGCTTTCATAGTATCATAGAATCATAGAATCAAAGAGTTGGAAGCGACTCCATGGGCCATCCAGTCCAACCCCCTGCCAAGAAGCAGGAATATTGCATTCAAAGCACCCCTGACAGATGGCCATCCAGCCTCTGTTTAAAAGCTTCCAAAGAAGGAGCCTCCACCACACTCCGGAGCAGAGAGTTCCACTGCTGAACGGCTCTCACAGTCAGGAAGTTCTTCATGTTCAGATGGAATCTCCTCTCTTGTAGTTTGAAGCCATTGTTCCGCGTCCTAGTCTCCAAGGAAGCAGAAAACAAGCTTGCTCCCTCCTCCCTGTGGCTTCCTCTCACATATTTATACATGGCTATCATATCTCCTCTCAGCCTTCTCTTCTTCAGGCTAAACATGCCCAGCTCCTTAAGCCGCTCCGCATAGGGCTTGTTCTCCAGACCCTTGATCATTTTAGTCACCCTCCTCTGGACACATTCCAGCTTGTCAATATCTCTCTTGAATTGTGGTGCCCAGAATTGGACACAATATTCCATGTGGTCTAACCAAAGCAGAATAGAGGGGTAGCATGACTTCCCTAGATCTAGACACTATGCTCCTGCTATTGATGCAGGCCAAAATCCCATTGGCTTTTTTTGCCACCACATCACATTGTTGGCTCATGTTTAACTTGTTGTCCACGAGGACTCCAAGATCTTTTTCACACGTACTGCTCTCGAGCCAGGCATGTCCCCCATTCTGTATCTTTGCATTTCGTTTTTTCTGCCAAAGTGGAGTATCTTGCATTTGTCCTGTTGAACTTCATTTTGTTAGTTTTGGCCCATCTCTCTAATCTGTCAAGATCGTTTTGAATCCTCTCCTGTCCTCTGGAGTATTGGCTATCCCTCCCAATTTGGTGTCGTCTGCAAACTTGATGATCATGCCTACTAACCCTTCATCTAAGTCATTAATAAAGATGTTGAAAAGGACCGGGCCCAGGACGGAACCCTGCGGCACTCCACTTGTCACTTCTTTCCAGGATGAAGAGGAAGCATTGGTGAGCACCCTCTGGTTCGTCCATTTAACCAATTACAGATCCACCTCACCGTAGTTTTGCCTAGCCCACATTGGACTAGTTTGTTTGCCGGAAGGTCGTGGGGGACCTTGTCGAATGCCTTACTGAAATCCAGGTAATGCTTTCCTTACAGCTTTTTAGTTTTGGGCCTTTTAATCACAGAAGCCTCATTAGAATCTAAGTGGTGTTCTGCTTTTGGGATTTTTATTCTCAAATAAAGCCTCGATCTTTTATAGAGAGCAACAAATACTGCAACCTTTTGACACATTTCCCCTGTCGGGTGGAGTCCATACAGAAGAAGTATTCGGACATGCCTTCACTAACCTGTAGTATGAAGAGTAGTACAGTCCAGGCACAATTGTAATTGCAGCTTGCATAAACAAACTGCATGTCTAATAGAGTCATTAATCAATATAACATCAAATATATTCTGCAATTCCATTCAAAATGCATTAGAACTGACATAACTGAAATGCACTCAGCTGCATTCTACGTTATTTATATCATTTCATTCTACCCACAGGCTGTATGATTAATGCAAGGAGCACTGCCTAAAAAAAATACGTTATCCATTTATGATCGCCTGAAGATGTTAGAGGACAGGATGCCTTTCCATCTATGAAAGCAAGTGTCTATACCAGGGGTCCACAAACTTGTTAAACAGACGGCCAGGTCACAGTCCCTCAAACTGTTGGAGGGCCGGATTATAATTTGAAAAAAAATGAATGCACAGTGCACGTATCTTATTTGTAGTGCAAAACACATTTTAGAACAATACAGTAATTAAAATGAAGAACAATTTTAACAAATATAAACTTATTAGTATTTCATTGGGAAGTGTGGACCTGCTTTTGGCTGATGAGATAGGATTGTTGTTGTTGTTGTGTGCTTTCAAGTCGTTTCAGACTTAGGTTGATCCTGAGTGAGGGCCGAGTAAATGACCTTGGAGGGCCGTATTCGGCCCCCGGGCCGTAGTTTGAGGACCCCTGGTCTATACAGTTTTTAACTTGCATCTTTAATCATTTGTGTAGTGAATGAATGAATGAATTGTTTATTGTACTAGCCATAGGCCATTTGTGTAGTTAATTAGAAATGATCCTAAAGTGAACCCCTTCTTACGTTTTCATATCTACATAAAATATTGGCTAGTCTACATGCAACGTAAGCTTAACTTGCATTAGCTAATACAAAGAACTGCACACTCCAAGGTTTGGTTCCTGCACAGCAGGCAGTTGCGTTTGTGCCACTGAAAGGGAACCATTAAGGATTGTTGGCTTGTTTTTGCTGGAAGGGCTGCTGAAATTGGCAAATAGTCACCAATTGAATTATTTTCCAGCATGGAAAATGAACATCTTATGTTTTATGAACATAAGATAAGCTATAGAGGAAAAGAAATCCTGTGAAGAAAAGACACACAAACTGTAGCAAACCTAAAGATCCTTTGTCTCGCTTATTTTCTTTGTGATGATGGAGACTGTTTGGTACCACAGAGTAAGGACACACCAGATCTCTTTTTATGCATAGGAGTTCTCTTGAAGTCTGATCACATGTGATTATAAATGCATTGGGGGTGGGGAGGAAGCAACTGCCCTATCTACGTCGCAGCTCTATTTCCATGTCAAGGGAAATTTGTAGTCTGGACACACGAAAGAACTTTGATCCAGTTTCTTGCCTGCTCTTCATGGCTTTGTCTATGAAAAGAGCACCAACAGACATTATGAGGATCTTACAACAAGTTATAGATCACATACCTTCTGATGAGGGATCACAGGCATAGGAGAATCAATTCTTGGGCTGGTTGTTGGAACTGGAATTGGACGTTTTGATCTGACATGGAGGGAAAAGGAAAAACGTTATTGAGAAGCTCAGACGTTTTCTTCACATCCTTCAAACAATGCACGAAAAACAATGGAAATTAAATCTTCACTTTATTTTTCCATTTAACCATAGTTAGTCACACATAAAGACTTTTTATGCATGTACTGATCTTCCAAATAAAATCACATGGTGGTTTACAAGTACAATATTCAAACTATAGTACAGTGATGTTAAACTTCTACTTAAGAGAATCCCAACTTAAGAGCATTTTGAATTAAGACCTGTGACTCAGCCCAGGTTTTGCTTTGACATAAGAGCAGCATTTTGAGTTAAGAGCTAGTGCCAGAGGGAGTGCTAGTGCAAGAATACACGGCTTTAGGGTTTCATAGAATCAAAGAGTTGGAAGAGACCTCATGGGCCATCCAGTCCAACCCCCTGCCAAGAAGCAGGAATATTGCATTCAAAGCACCCCTGACAGATGGCCATCCAGCCTCTGTTTAAAAGCTTCCAAAGAAGGAGCCTCCACCACACTCCGGGGCAGAGAGTTCCACTGCTGAACGGCTCTCACAGTCAGGAAGTTCTTCCTCATGTTCAGTTGGAATCTCCTTTCTTGTAGTTTGAAGCCATTGTTCCGCGTCCTAGTCTCCAGGGAAGCAGAAAACAAGCTTGCTCCCTCCTCCCTGTGGCTTCCTCTCACATATTTATACATGGCTATCATATCTCCTCTCAGCCTTCTCTTCTTCAGGCTAAACATGCCCAGCTCCTTAAGCCGCTCCTCATAGGGCTTGTTCTCCAGACCCTTGATCATTTTAGTCGCCCTCCTCTGGACACATTCCAGTTTGTCAATATCTCTCTTCAATTGTGGTGCCCAGAATTGGACACAATATTCCAGGTGTGGTGTAACCAAGGCAGAATAGCGGGGTAGCATTACTTCCCTAGATCTAGACATTATGCTCCTATTGATGCAGGCAAAAATCCCATTCAAGGGGAAAACCACTGCACATCATGCCTCTTTGCCTTGTACTCTTGTCTGCTTTGGGAGATTGCTGTCCGCTTTGCTGTTGTCCACTTTGAGGAACTTTGGGTTAGTTAATTTTGGTTAGTTTTTAATCTTTGTATGTTTGGCTTCATGAAGAGAGAGAGAGGAAAAGAGAGGGAAGGAAGGAGGCTGGAATGAGTACATTATGAAGAAAATGATGCTTTTGCCTCTTCACTTTGTGCTTCCTTGCCACAACTCTGTGCTTCTACCATTTTAAAATTGATCATTCTTTTTATTGTTCTATGTGAATGTGCATTCATACATTATTTGTTATTTATAAAGTACATTTTTAATTTAAAAACATGTAACAAAAATGGGGAATGGGTTTTGGGGGGCAGAATGGATTAATAGTATTTCAAAGCATTTCAATAGGAAAAGTCACTTTGAGATAAGAGCATTTTGAGTTAAGAGCTTGGTCACGGGATGAATTAAACTCTTAAGTCAAGGTATCACTGTACGTAGAATGGGCTATCTAGATTCTAGATCAGTGTTTCTCAACCTGGGGGTCAGGACCCCTGGGGAGGGGGGGTCCCGAGAGGGTTTCAGAGGGGTTGTCAAAGACCATCAGAAAACACAGTATTTTCTGTTGGTCGTGGGGGTTCTGTGTGGGAAGTTTGGCTCAATTCTATCGTTGGTGGGTTTCAGAATGCTCTTTGGGTGTAGGTGAACTATAAATCCAAGCAACTACAACTCCCAAATGTCAAGGTCTATTTTCCCCAAACTCCACTAGTGTTCACATTTGGGCATATTGATTACTCATGCTAAGTTTGGTCCAGATCCATCATTGTTTGAGTCCACAGTGCTCCCTGGTTGTAGGTAACTACAACTCCAAAACTCAAGGTCAATGCCCACCAGACCCTTCCGGTATTTTCTGTTGGTCATGGGAGTTCTGTGTGCCAAGTTTGGTTCAATTCCATCATTGGTGCATTCAGAATGCTCTTTGATTGTAGGTGAACTATAAATCCCAGCAACTACAACTCCCAAATGACAAAATTAATCCCCCTTCCCAACCCTATCATATTCAAATTTGGGCGTATTGGGTATTTATGCCCAATTTGGTCCAGTGAATGAAAATACATCCCACATATCAGATATTTATATTATGATTCATAACAGTAGCAAAATTACAGTTGTAAAAGTAACAATGAAAACAATTTTATGATTGTGAGGAACTGTATTAAGGGGTTGCGGCATTAGGAAGTTTGAGAAACATTGTTCTAGATGAACTACGTCCATGGGGACAGAGCAAGTTGGGTTCTTTATCCGGGGATCACTTGTTCATGTACAAACTTGTGAACCAGGCTGTGGGATGGGAGGATTCACCATGAAATGCAGAGGGGAGAACCCTACTCTATCTACAAACTAAGCATACTACCTAATTTTCTTCCATAGATGTGAATAACTGCGACTCACTCATATGAAAAGAAATACAGGGCAAAATCCGAAGCTTAATGAGTCCCCTCGGGGAGACAGGGCGCGTTATAAATAAAGTTATTTATTTAAGACCTTCCATGATATTAAAAAGTGTGCACAATAAATGTGGTGCACAATCTAGGGAAAGGATTAGCAACTGTTCTGTCACCACTGGGCCTGTAGCTAGTTGACTTTTAAAGATAGGATGTGTAATCTTTGCCCAGCGGGAAGCCAGGGGCCTAAGGAGACATTCTCAGAGGTTTCCACTACAAAGGAATCTTCAGATGGCTATAGAAGTACAACAAAGTCTTTTATTAATGAAATCAAACAGGAACTTCAAGGCTTTCTGGATAAAGTATTGGTTCTCTCAATCTTGTCCACAGGGGACAGGCACTGTCTTCAATAATGTTTTCTTTAAAGGAAAATTCCCCTTTTTAACTTTTCCCAGGCTGACTGAAATCCAATCCCCTCTGATGTGTGCTCCGCTACCGGGCTGAACTGCTTCTCGGACGCTGAGTGGACCTACCAGCAGGGCAGTGGATATTCTCCAGCTGGAGTTCTTTAGTCTTTAAGGCTGTTTTCCTGGAAATTCCCAAAGCTGTGGGAATGCTTCCCTGGAGTTCTTAGGAGACTCTTAAAGCTGTTCTCCTCTGGATTTCTTTTCTTTCTGTTTCTGTTGGAATTTCTGTAACCCTGGAAATTCTTAAAGCTTGAAGCCTTTGTACAGGGGAAGTTACACACATCCTATACAAAAGCTAAGCTGGCTGAGACTAACTAACAAAATGGCTCAACTTCCCTCCAAAGCCCAAAAGGGGGGTGGGACCAGGGAACCTAATGATGATGGACAGGTGGCCTGCCCTATGACTGCAGCCAAAAGAAGCCACCTATCTGCAGAGCCCCTGAAACTTAGGACTAGAAACAAACATTCAATGCAAAGCAAACAAAATTGGAGCTCCTGGAACAGCTGTTCCAGAACAGCAACTCTAGTAGGGACGCAATTGTACTTTGGACAATTCAGACAAAGAGGCAACATAGAAGTGATCAGGAATCTTATTACTAGGATATTCAGCTAGTTTTGGCCAATTTTGTGATTTGGAACAAATTTAGGAGGTTGTTGTTTTTAGACTAGGGGTGTTTCTATACTGCAGAATTAATACAGTTTGGTATCACTTTAACTACAATGGCTTAATGCTATGAAATCACAAGAGTTGTAGTTTTATAACCAATGTCTCTGCCAAAAAGTGCTGATTCCTTACCAAACTACAAACCCCAGGATTTCATAACATTGAGCTAGCACAGCTGAAGTGATGTCAAACTGCATTAAATCTATAGTACAGATGCACCCCAAATTTCCCTGTCAACTAAGATTATGCAGACACCAGGAGCTTCTGATATTGCTTGTGTGTGTCATGGCTTCCCAACCACTTCTTCCACCAATTCATGAATTAGTTTGAGTGTTAGTAATTGAATTAATTGCATCTCTATTAAAGTAATTAGTAGGGTCAATAAGAGACCAGAGTCTTGTATGAAGTTGTCAAGTGAATTGCAGCTGAAGTCATATTGGCACTGCTGATTTTCCAGTCCACACCTCATGCTATGCCAATGATTGAATTCTATTATTGGATGCACTCAAGGGGCAATACAGCCAGGCTGCTTTACACTCCTTGCTTTTTCTGGGCAGTGTAGCAATTCCTGCATTTTTCCAAACATTTTCCCAAATTTTGTGATTAAGCTCCACGTGTTTTTGCCAATGGGAGGAAGCAAAGAGTATCCAGCCTCACACTTGAAGCAAAGTCACGTTTTGCAAACTAATTGTGGGGTGACACTTCTGCTATGGGGAAAATGTTGCTGCTTTAGAGATCAAGTATATATAGAGTTAGCTGTCAGGGGATCTAGCTTTTTTTCTATCCCACCAGAAGTGTTTCAGAAATGATACAAAAGGCTTACAGCTACAGATCTTTAATGGTCCTGAAGCCAATGGTGCATCTGCTGTCATGGTACAGACGCCACAAAGTCAGTCCCAAGTGCAAAGTAACAACAGTTTATTGAAGGTACAGCTCAAAAGAATCAAAAAATGCTTAACAGCAGCAAAATAGTATTCCAAAACAAAACACAGACCAACTGGTCAAAAAGGAGGCAAATCAGAGAGTCCCAAAGTCCTAAAAATCCCAACCCACTAACCAAAAAACACCGCAAAGAAAAGGGCATTCGCTATCATTTCAGCGAGCACGTTCCAGGGTGTAGCAAAGTTGTAGTCAAGCCGGTCCAGGGGTCATCCACAGCAAACAGGATACCACAGCAGCAGAATCAAACGTCCAATCCAAGGTCAGGGCAGAAGAGCAAAGGCGATGTCCAGAAGCGATCCAAGGTCCAAGCCAAAGCAGTAGCAGAGGGTCCACGAAGTTCAGGAATCACAACCCAGCATAGCAGGCAAACACTTTGCCAGTCGCAAAGTCCCCATTGCAACCAACTCTCCTTATATTACAAACTTTCCTCTGAGCTACAATGAGACAACGCTCCACCCTCAGCTGCTCCTGCATTCTCCTCCAAACTAGAA